GAATTTCCTAGAAAAGGTTGATAAGACCTATGAGGATATGAAAAGGGATCAACTAGAATTAATAAGGAATCAACAAGAAATAAAGAATACATTGTCTGAAATAAAAAATATTATACAGAATGGAAGATCGCAAGAATCAAGTCAAAGATTTGGAACATAAAGAGCCAGAAGACACTCCTCCACAGAAGCTAGAAGGCAAGAGAATCCAGAAAATTGAAGATAATGTAAGAAACCTCTGGGACAACTTCAAGCGAACCAACATCAGAATTATGGGGGTCCCAGAAGATGAGAGAGCAAGATATTGAAAACATTCTGAAAGTAATAGTGACAGAAAACTTCCCTCACCTGGGGAAAGAGTTAGACTTACAAGTCCAGGAAGCGCACAGAACTCCAAACAAAAGGAATCCAAAGAGGACCACACCGAGACAAATCATAATTAAAATTCCAAGAGCAAAAGACAAAGAGAGAATATTAAAAGCAGCAAGAGCAAAGCAGGTAGTTACCTATAAAGGAGCACCTATACGATTATCAGCTGATTTCTCAACAGAAACCATGCAGGCCAGATGGGAATGGCAAGAAATATTCAAGGCGATGAATAGCAAGAACCTACAGCCAAAAATAGTCTACCCAGCAAAGCTATCACTCAGAATCGAAGGTCAGAAAAAGAGCTTCACTAATAAAAAAAAGCTAAAGGAGTTCATCAACACCAAACCAGAATTATATGAATTGCTGAAGGGGGTTCTTTCAGAAGAGAAAGTAAATAAAGATAAAAATTATGAACAACAAATACGTAACTATCAACAAGTGAATCTAAAAACCAAGGAAATTAAAAAAAAAAATCTGATGAACAATATTAACTGGTGAATATAATAGAATCAGAGGTATGGAAGGGGAGTGAACTGACGATTCTTAGGGAAAAGGGGAGAGGGGGATGTGGGAAGAGACTGAACATAAACTGTACACCTATGGATGAGGACAATGGGGAGTGGGGAAAGGGCAGAGGGTGGTGTGGAAACCTGGCGGAGAAGAGCAATGGTGGAGGGTAAAAAAGTAACATTTGTAATAATATGAACAATAAAAATTTATTTTTTTTAAAAATGGCTTTTCACCTGAGTATCAGAGTTGGCTTCTATAACTCTTCTATAACTAACATACAAGAGTATGGATGTGTTAGTTAAGTTTCCCATTTCTGCCATAACAAATTATCATTGACTTCGCAGCTAGAAACAACACAAACTTACTAATCTCAAGTTTTTGGAGATCAGAAGTCCCATTAAGCTTATCTGGTTTCGCTGCTCAGTCCCACAAAACCAAAAGGTATTAGCCAGATATGATCAGGAGGCTCTGGAAAGAAATCTGCTACAATCTAGTCCTATAGCCAGTAGGACTGAGATTCCCCTTTCCTGGCTGGCTGTCAGCTGAGAGCCACCCTCAGCTAAAGGTTTCTCCCTAGTCTTAACATGTGTTCCCACATCTCAGCAGCACAGGGTGCACTGACTTCTCATGCTTGGAATTTCTCAACTGCCCCTTCTGTAGCATGTTTCTGCCTCCAGCTGGAGTCGGTTGTCTGCTTTTAAGGGCTTGTGATTAGACAGGGTCTTGCTACGGGCTTAATATTTGTACACTGCCCCTCCTCCCAATTCTAATGTTGAAACCCAATGCCCAACATTATATTTGAAGGTGGGGCTTTTGGGAGCTAGTAGATCGTAAGTGGAACCCTTATGATTAGGATTTGTGCTCTAAGACTCCAGAGAGCTCCCTCGTCTCTTCTACCACATGAGGACAGCAAGAAGGCCTTGTCTATGAACCAGGAAGTAGGCTCTTACTAGACACTGAATTGCTGGTGTCTTGACCTTAGATTTCTGAGCCTTCAGAACCAAGAGAAATAAATTTCTGTTGTCTATGGTGTTTTGGTACAGAAGCCCAGAGACGAACACAGGCTTACACAGATAATACAAGATAATCCCCCTATTTTAAGGTCCACAGCTTTAATCTCATCTGCAAAGTCCCTCTGCCATATAACATATGCACAGGTTCCAGGGACTAGGGTGTGGACCTCCATAAAGGAGCCTTATTCCACCTACCACAAGCACGTCAAACTCTAAGGCTAACATGGGCCAAATAAACAAGGTTTAAGTTTATGTGGAACGCAACAAACAAAAGCTTTAATTCTGATAGAAATGTAGGTTTATTTCGATAAAGACATGCTAAATACAAAGGGTTGAAATCAATGAGTAGTCGTTAACATAAGATAGAACATTTTATTTTTTATTATTATTATTTTTTAAAACATATTTTATTGATTTTGTACAGAGAGGAAGGGAGAGAGATAGTTAGAAACATCGATGAGAGAGAGTCATCGATCAGCTGCCTCTTGCACACCCCCTACTTGGGATATGCCCGCAACCAAGGGACATGCCCTTGACCGGAATCGAACCCGGGTCCCTTCAGTCCCCAAGCCGATGCTCTATCCATTGAGCCAAACCGGTCTCGGCTAAAATAGAACACTTTAATAAAAATATTTTTGTTGAACATTAACTTACCAGACACTGAATAACTCTACAAATTAATAAGCATAACGCAAATAAACCTATTTTTCTTGTTCTCCGAAAGCGAAATATTTCCTGTTGCGCACACCAAACAAGTCAGTCCAATACTGATGTGGCTGCTAAAACATTCGCTGCTGGTATTAGTGGAGAGAAATGGTAAGCCTGTGCATAAGGCATGTAAGGGAAATGAATACAACATGATTTTAGTAATCAGTCATTAGCAAATGTTGTAGTTCATTATCAATAATTATGTATAACAGGTACTGTAAAAATTTAGTTATGAAATTTTAATGAAAACGCTTCTTACATATCGTTATATTGGCTAGGCCACAAAAATAATTGTCGTGGGCCACATGTGGCCCATGGGCCGTGAGTTTGATATGCTTGGAGTATGGTTAAGTCCAGGAGCCCTTGTGCTATTTTACAAATTGAGAATAACCTAAGTGTACAGTGATGTCCTAGGCCTTCACATTCATTCACCAATCACCCAGAGCAACTTCCAGTCCTGCAAGCTCCATTCATGGTAAGTGCCCTATACAGGTGTACAAGTTTTTAATCTTTATACCTTACTTTTACTGTACCTTTTCTATGTTTAGATACACAAATATTAGCCATTGTTTTACAACTGCTCACAGTATTCAACACCAATTTGTTGTACAGGTTGGTAGCAAAGGCTGTACCATGGCAGGTATAGGTGGGTGTAAGTACACTCTGATGTTGGCACAACGAAATCCCTTAAGCACACATTTCTTAGAATGTATCCTGTCATTAAGCAACCCATGACTATATTATGCAAGGATAAATAAAACACTAATGTCACCAAAAGCATGTATTATATCCTCTCCGAAATACCACGCATTGTTTTTAATGCCTGACTAGATCCCGACTAATACAAATGCCAATCTTTTCTGAACTAATCATTCATTGTCTGGCATTCCTTGGCATGAAATTTTTTTTTAAATTTAAATTAAAAGGTAAAGGCTTAAACTTTTAATTATAACTTTATCACAATTTCAAATAGTTCAGTGATTCCATTTAGTCTTTAATATGGTAGAAAAAATAGGTAGATAGGTAAATACGTGATCAAACTGGACAGATAATAATATTCGTGTAGGTTTGAGTATATATTTTATATGTTCTCTTGAATAAGTTTCTCTCCCTCTCCCCCATTAAATAATTCCAGAGATCGGGAAAGGAGATAAGGAAACAGAGGTACACTGAAATTTAGAACTTGCTCAAACTCATATAGCTAGTAAGCAGTGGAGCCAAGATTCAAGCCAGGTGGTTTACTTTCAAATTCTCTGCTCATAATCACTATGCTATGTATGACACCTCTCACAACAGGGATATCTGATCACACTTTATGACCATCCAAATAAGTAGAAGTTCTCAAATTTATCAATACTGCATTTATAGTCTACTGCTTGACTGATATTTCTTTCCATACTGTTAATATCACCCAATATTAACCCTATTAATAGTTATCACTGCTCTACGCAGTGAAAAAAGATTATATACACACACATAGAGACACAAAGAACAAAGTGTTATCTTTGGAGAAGGTACCAGATGGCATACATAAACAGAAATCAAGTGAAATATCCACAGGCAGCTTAATAATATGTAAGGTAATGCTATGCCTCAGTATATGATCTACAAAACCAGTTCCTAAAGGTGTTTGGTGCAATAATAAATACACCTTCCTTCTACTGTGTTTACCTAAAAAAGAAAACATTAATCAATTATTTGTTAACATTATCCAGATTTTTATTAACTTAAATTGACACAATTGAGTATGACAAGTCCTTAGTTTAATTTAGTATGACAAGCCTTTATTTGGTGAAAACCTACAGATTCTTCTCAATACCACAAAATCATATAGACTTGCAGTTATTGGTGTTTTGTAACAATTAAGATAATGTTCAAATAATTAAGTTACTTCACTGAAATATTTAAAAGAATATTCTGAGGAGTGTTTGAAAGCTCTGTTTATAAATAGTGACTGATATATTTAGTTAGATATTTGGTGTTGAAGATAAACACTTCTTACATAAAACATTGTTTTAATACATTGCTCTACTAATAAGGCTAGTTATTAGATGTATTTCTAACACTAAAGAATAAACCTTTATCTTCAGATTTATTTTATTCATAGGACTCATATTAATGAAGAATGTTATATCCAACAAAAATAAACTGGCAACTACAAATGGCATTCTGTAGAAATGAAAAAGGAGGCTGCAACAAAAGAAAGATAACTGCATTACCATTCTCCATACAAACAGCCCACTCAATAGAATTAAATGTGGACCAAATGCTTTAAAAGTTTTTATGCTAGATGGCAATTATCATCTTCACACATGAATGAGAAAAGGAACAATAACAACACAGAACACAGTATTTTAATGATTATAGCACATTAAACCTTCAGCCATCCACTGGATTCTCAGATCAGATCGGCAACTGAAATTTCACATCCACCTGGGCTTGTTTGGCTAAGTTCACTATTTCAGAGAGCTTTACAACCTGAAAGAAAACACAAAATAAAAAACCATCTTTGTTTCTATTTTCACTAGAACATAAAAATAAGAACTACTGGTCAATTGATGCGCATTCAATCTTTTTCATTTGAAATGTGAGCTATTCGACATCAATCACTTCACATTCTTATCGGGTCTAGTAATAATCAATGACGTTTTTAAACATTCGTTTAAAATCTTGCTTGGCGTTGACTTGTATTGACATAACCTTCAAACACGTGGTATCTACAGAACGTGTGAAGTGCAATTAACAAGTTTTGCTTGAAAAAGTTTGTGTTTGGTTTGGTTTTTGTTGCAAAACTAGGGCTAAGAAGATGGCGGATGAAGAGCATATTCGGCACTGCATGCTTTACGAGTTCCAATTAGGAAGAAAAGCAAGTGAGGCTGCAAAAAACATCTGTAGTGCTCTTGGTCAAGATGCCGATAGCGCCAGAAAATGCCAGCGTTGGTTTGAGAAATTTCGCGAGGGAAATTTTTCGTTAGATGACAAGAATGGTCGAGGCCGTGTGTCCAATTTTGATCAAGAAGCTCTTCAAGCTCTTTCAAATTACCCAACAAGAGCTTGCGACAACTTTAAATCGTTCACAAAAAACAATTTCCAATCAATTGCGTGCACTTGGCAAAGTCCAAAAGTTTGGAAAATGGGTTGGTTCCTCATGAGTCGACCGACAACAACCGTAATCAAAGAGTCACAATTTGCAGTTCGCTCCTCTCTCGTCAAAACCGTTTGCCGTTTTTAGAGCAAATTGTTACCGGAGATGAAAAATGGGTGCTGTATGTTAATTTGAAAAGGCGGCCTCAATGGTTGGACAAAAATGAGGCTCCGCAGCCCATGCCAAAACCTGACTTGCATGCGAAAAAAGTGATGTTGTGTGTTTGGTGGAATTTTAAAGGAATTCTTCATTATGAACTTTTACCATCTAACCAAACCATTACAAGTGCAGTGTATAGTGCCCAATTGGAAAGGTTAGCCCAAGCTTTAAGAGAAAAAGAACCCGCACTGATTAATCGGAAGGGCGTAATTCTTCACCACGATAACGCACGACCGCATACTGCAAGAATCACTGCTAAAAAACTGCGCCAGTTGGAATGGGAAGTTCTCCCTCAACCTGCATATTCTCCTGATATTGCCCCTTCCGATTACCATTTGTTTCGTTCTTTGCAAAACTTTCTTCTTGGAAAAAAATTTAATAATGAAGAATGCCTCAAAAATGCATTGACCGAATTTTTTGCATCAAAATCATAAGAATTTTACAACAGAGGGATTAAAATGCTTCCTGAGCGTTGGGCACAAGTAGTAGAAAACAATGGCAACTATATTGTTGATTAAATTTTGTTGTATTGTTTAAATAAATTCGATTTAAAAAAGGTATTAGAAAACGACATTATTACTAGACCTAATATAAGCATTTGCCATTCAAATCTAACCTTCTTAATAACCCACACTTTCAATAATATCTATAAAATTAGAAAGTACTGAAAAAAATGTATATATATCTTCTTTTTATTGCCAATTTTATCTTTCTTAAATACAAAATTAGTATCTTTAAGTACTACACAGTGCAAATCACATATAAATAAGTTTGCCTTTTTTTTTTTTTTTTTTTAAGTATACAATCTTAACAATATTGGATAGGAGTTTGGCTCTAGAAGTTAGATTTTTCTGTTGGTACCATGCAAAATACTATACAATTAATGTCGAAAACCAAACAACGAATTCAGCTTCTCTCCTCTCCTGTAGAGTGGATAAGGTTTAGTTAGCCACTTGGCTTCAAATCCTTTCTCTAATGCTTATGATCCTGAATAGGTTAATTTATCTAGTCTCTGTTCCCTCATATATAAAAATGGGATTATATCACCAAACAAATTAAATAATGTAATACTTGAAGAAAAGAAACTTAGCATTGTAAGCACAATAAATACTAGATAAATGGTAGCAGCTGCTAATATCATTACATTATTATTATAATTGTCATGACTTCCATAATCTCTTAGTCAGTAGAAAAAGATAGCAGTCACAACTTAAGCCAACTGTTCACTTTTATCTTTTATGGTCTATCTGAGTCTTCTCCTTTCTTTCCATGTCCACAAAGCTTTTCTTAATTCAGGCTCTCACTGAAAACAAGCATATTTTCAAAGACAAGTTATAACCTATCCATAACCTTCACCTCATATCACATCTAATTATTGCCCTCCAGACTCCTACTATCCTTCACTTTTCCCTTCAATAGTTTATACGACATCTCAAAGTCAAAATAGGCTTTCCTCCTACCATTCCCTTGCTCAAAAATCTTAATTTAAACTTAGGATTGAGTATAAGACCCTCTGTCTCTAAACTGCAGTTGAATTACATTTACTAATAGGTAATTTCCTAGAGTATGTCCCAAAGAAAAACATAAGACTTTTATTATTCTTATGAAATGATATTATATTAACTTAGCAAATCTCAAAAGCCTATTAAACCATACAGGTCTTCCATGAATTGTCCTTAAAAATAGGTGGGAAAGAATAAATAGTTCTCATTAAGGAACATCTCTATGTCTACTATGGACTGTGCACTAAGATATAATGTTAAATAAAATGAGGCAAAATATATGTGATAGTCATATAATGAGGGAAAGTGGACAAATATATGTGTGTGCATACAACACATACATATGTATTATACACATACACATACAATTTTCTTGAAGAATGAACCAAAATTCTTTTTTTTTAAAAGATGGTTACCTATGGGGAAGGAAGAAACATATAGGTATAACAGTTAGATTCTCTGAATACACTTGGCTTTATAGTTATGATTTTGGAACCATGTAAATATTTATATAATATAAAACAAAAATTGGTATTTTTTAAAGAGCAATTTCTTTAAAATATATATATTTTATTGATTTTCCACAGAGAGAGGGACACAGAGTTAGAAACAACAATGAGATCGATCAGCTGCCTCCTGCACACCCCCCATTGGGGATGTGCCCGCAACCAAGACATATGCCCTTGACCAGAATCGAACCTGGGACCCTTCAGTCCGCAGGCCAACGCTCCACCCACTGAGCCAAACAGGTTTTGGCTAAAGAGCAATTTCTGAAAAAAATTAAATGATACTATAATTATATACCAAGCTGGGATAAAACAAAACTATTTTATGTGAATTTTAAAATCTAATAAGTTATGCCCAAACTGGTTTGGCTCAGTGGTGTAGCGTCGGTCTGCGGACTAAAAGGTCCCAGGTTCGATTCCGGTCAGGGGCATGTACGTTGGTTGCAGGCACATCCCCAGTAGGGGGTGTGCAAGAGGCAGCTGGTCGATGTTTCTCTCTCATCGACGTTTCTAGCTCTCTATCTCTCTCCCTTCCTCTCTGTAAAAAATCAATAAAATATATTTTAAAAAATAATAAAAAATAAAATAATTTTTAAAATCTAATAAGTTATGAAATATACTTCAAAGGACAGAAAGAACTGCACATATCAATCTTAAAATGCCTTCAGTAATCATATTGTTGGTATTATTACTGTACAATTATTATGTCTGTTTTGAGAGATAAAGTAAATAAATATTTATATGTATGTCAATATGACATGGGAGAAGAAAAAACCTATAATACTGGATTTGCTCTGGAAATATCAGTATATACTCATATACTTATCTCTTTATTTTTTTATTTTTTAAATTTTTTTAATATATATTTTATTGATTTTGTACAGAGAGGAAGGGCAAGAGATACAGAGTTAGAAACATCGATGAGAGTGAGTCATCGATCAGCTGCCTCTTGCACACCTCCTACTGGGGATATGCCCGCAACCAAGTTACATGCCCTTGACCGGAATTAAACCCGGGACCCTTCAGTCCCCAAGCCGACGCTCTATCCATTGGGCCAAACCGGTCCCGGCTATACTTATCTCTTTAAAAAATACATATTTTCCTAGATTTACCATTTTAAAAGCCTTGAAACAACGAACAACTCTGTGAGTACCCTTGTGGTCTCTAAAAACCATTTTGCTGATTTCAGATCTTAAGAAAAAAATGTAAGCCTAGGACATCTTATCAAACTAGAAAGCATATCACAGGACATGTGAGAAAGACTCAGGAGTCAACTTGAAGAGGTTCCCATTGACTATAGATGGCATCATAGAGCTTCAGTAACAATTACTTAAACCACATCAAATAAGTTTAAATCCACCGAGTGCAAAATAATATGTGCATATGTGCGTACACAAACAACACAAACCTAAGAACAAACAAAAAGAGAAATAAAAAGCCTTTGTCATTTTTGTAGGACATTAATGGGAACAAACCCATTATTTTGAAAACTCATCAATAAAAACAAAAAAATCAAGTCACTGTCCTGCTTTCCCTATGTAAAATTTACTTCATAATTATAAGTAGTTGATATAAAGGATTTTTACTTTTTTTAAGATTCCATTTAATAAATGACAGAATTAGATTATCACCACTTTGTATTTATGAAATTTTATACTTAAGCTATGACTGTCAATGACTGGCAGTATCACAAAAAGAGAAATAATCTGACATTAACTATATACTTCCTTATAAAATTACACAACAACTATAAAATATTCTTGCTCCCCCAAATCAGATACATATATGATCAAGCCTACAGACCAAAACTACCAGTTTACAGGAAATACAGGTATGGAGGACACCCCAGGGATTAGAATAATTAATATTCTGACTATAGGAAACACTGTAAGACCATCAACTTGTCTTTTCAAAAATAAACGCCAGGAAAATAAACAATGGTGAACCTGTAGGTTAACAGAAATTTAATAATATATTAATCAACTGTAATACATAGAATTACTGTGAGCCTAATACTAATGAAGAACCTAGACAAAATATATTTCAGAGAATCCCAAAAATGTCAACACTGACTAGATTCTTTTTTATAAAATAGAAACATCACTATCCCACCTGAAATACTTCCTTTTTATCATTACCAATATCACTACATTATCACTGCTTTTATCTTTTTTAGATACACTAGAGGCCCAGTGTGTGGTTCGTGGGGTCCCTCCGCCTGGCCTGCACCTTCTCACAATCAGGGATGTCAGAGAGCCAGTTTTGGCTCCATTTCTCATTCTCGCAGGCCCAATCCAGATAGGAGGGAGCCTGATCCTGTGCTTTGAGCATCTGTCCCCTGGTGTTCAATGCGCATCATAGCGACCAGTCGACCAGTCATTCAGTTGCTTAGGCATATATATATATATATATATATATATTTTTTTTTTTTTTTTTTTAAGCAAACCCCAGACATTGTATCATTTCAGGCATATATGATGACATGCGTGAAATGATATAATGTCTGGGGTTTGCTTCAAAATAATCATGGGCAAGGAAGGAAGTAGGCAAATGAAATAAGATTGATGACAAGATGGGTGATAGGTATAATCACATCTAAATAAATGAAAACCACATCTAAATAAGTTTTTTTTTTTTAATACACAATCTCAATTTACAATATTGGGATAGGAGTTTGGGTCTAAGAGATAAATGCTTTATTTTATATTACTAAATGATAGAAAGCAAATACTATTATTTATCTGAAACACATTTTTAGTGATATTAGCTGGTTTATTTTAGAATCTAAATGTTTACATTAGATAGGATGTTAGATATGAGCAGCTGGGGTGAGGCCTGCCCTGGGTCCTGAACAGGGATGGGCCAGCACTGCCTTCAGGCCTCCTCTCATGGGCGAACCAGCCAGCAGTCCACCAGGCAGGTTCAGACTCAGCCGGTTCTTGGCACAAGCTCAGAGGAAAATGACATGCCTTCAATGCCAATGCGACCATACTAGGGCCCTGGACTAATTGTAATAAAATTTGCATTGTGGTTTTTGACATCCCCCTGGGGTTTTTCTGTATGCATTATGGGTAAGGGCATGTGCAGAAGAAATATAGTTATATAACCCTTTTCTGTCAATCATCCCTGAATGTAAATGAGTTTCCACCCAGAAAAGCTCTCATTTAAACCCAGGAGTTTGGGGCCATTATCCTCACTTGGAGTGCATCTTCTATAAGCCCCACTTGGCTTTACTTTCATCATTGTTGACCTTAAAATCTTTTCTTTGTCAATGAGAACTCAGGAACCAGCCAATAACCCCGATCAGGAACATTTATACATCACTTATACACTTTGCAAATTTTTTCTTAGATTAACATACCATTTTAGCAGCTTCATCCAAGTCATCACAAGCAAGGATTTTAAGTCCACTGTCAGTTATGAGTGCCTTAGCATCATCCACTCTTGTACCTGAAAATGAGATATGCAAATATAAAGTAAGTTTTAAATACTGACACAAAATCATACACAAGTAATTTCATAAGAATAGTTCATTATTTAATATAATACATGCTCTAAACCAAGAAAATACTGTATGTAAAAACCTAGTTACCTCATGAAGTATCATGCCATACCTTATCAATGGCAATTCAGAATTCACAACAAAGCACAACAAATAATGTATCAGATCGTATGAATCAAAACGGTGAGCAATTTTGCCCGAATGTTAGAAAGTTTTTAATACCATTTTTAAAAAATTTCCTATTACATAATACTTTTGTGGACAAAAAGGAGCCACATGCTAACGTGACTCTAGTTCAGTGGAGGCCTGCACGATGGCCTTGCAAACTCAGAGACCGAAAGTAACTACAAAGCATAGTCTAAAATTAAAACTTTTAAAAACTAAGAGCAGTGTATGGTGTGCAGTCATGTCCTAAGGCAATATTTTTCCTTAACAAAAGTTAATCTTCACATTAACTAAGCCTGATTTGTCTTTTGGCCTCTAGGATACTAGGCCCTTGCAAAAACAAAGTAATTTTCCTTTTTCAGAGTTGAGACCACAAATACTTTCATTATCACAGTTATCATTGCCATGTTAATTCTGACTGTTAACTATCCTGCACTCATCTAAGTAAAAGAAGTGTGTGCTTATCATTTCACTCTTTATCCAATCCTAGAAGTTTTTTTCTGCTTTGCTTTCTCCTGCCTCCCTAATCTATCAGCAATGGATTTCACAATAACCCACTTACATCAATCACCTCCTTTATTGTAATGTATAAAATAAGGCACAAAACTGCTATTCTCCTGAGCATTAACTCAATCCATTGAGATTCTGCTTCTCAGCATTTGTTGACTGGCTCAAATAAACTCACAGAAATTCTTCACAGGTTTGAATGTTTCTTATATTAACGCTTTCAAATTTAAAAGATACAACTATTTGAAAACTAATTTAAAATAACTAAACTCCTTGGAATTGTGGTAGGCAGTCAGACATGAGCAGAGCCAGGATGGGTACAGAAGGTCACCAGGAAGGAAAGCCCCAGGTGCAAAGGACAATTGTAGGGCGGGGCCTCACCTGCAGAGGGACCTTTCCCCTTAGCAAATCAATGGTCATGTAGTTTGCACCTTTCCTCCCCAGATAATACCCAAACCTCAGTAGTATTTCAGCTCCTAGCCCAGAAAAGCAGCAAAACCAGACAAGCTGAACTCAGGACCAGATACACTGGATAAAACACCTGACCCGGCACCAACCAATCAATAGTGGAACTCCAACTCTGAAAGAACACACCGGAAAAGTGCTACATATTCATTGAGATCCTCCCCTGGGACCTCCCCTAAAATAGCCACCCTTAAAACCCTTAAGCCGAGGACCCAGAACGCTCTCCCTCCCAGGAGCAGGCCTGCACCTTTCCCTTCTCCTCACCCAAGCACTTTCCCATTTGCTTCCCCACTTCCAAGCTCCAATGGCCCGCCCTTTATTTACCTCTATAACTCATTTCCTCAGCTCATTTCTTCTACAAATATTACTTCTATCTCTGCAATTTTAAAAATAAATGCTCTCTTATAGCTTGAGTCTTGGTTCTGAATTCTTCCATGGCTAGAACTCAAGTATGGAGGTTGCTGCACTCAGATCTGGTATGACCTGACTGATCTGTCACCTGGTGCCATTCCCACCGCCTAAAGCAGAATCATGGACTTTTAAGCAATTAGGGTTCATAAAACAATTGCAAGATATCTGTTACACTCACCTTGTAACCGTACCACAATAGGTATTTTAATTTCCAAATCCTTAACGGCCATGACTATACCCTGTGCAATAACATCACACCTCATGATTCCTCCAAAAATGTTGACCAGAATAGCCAGTACCTGTGAACAGAATTTTTTTTGTCGATTAAAATTTTAAAGAAATGAGTATGTGTCCTTCCTTCCCAAGAAAATATTTGTATTTATACCTTATGATGAAATTTAATTCCATGGAACCATTTTCACTCAAAACAGCCATCACTGAAGTCTGTGTAGTCCACCACACACCAGAACTTACTTCCCCTCTTCAAGTAATTCCAACACCTGGCTCATTCTCTTCTCTTCTGTCTCATATGAATAAGACCTGATTCCTTTACTTACTTCCTATTAAACACAGCCATTCACCAACATGATATCCCAGATCATGTTGTAAGACAATGTCACATACAAGAGCTCCAATTTATGTTCATTGACTATCATCTCTTCTTCACTTAGCCCCACCAATTCAACAGACTCTTCACACAAACCAGGCCCTCAAAAATCACTGAATTTCTGTATGCCCACTACTAGCTATGCATCACATCCAAACCTCATGGTCTGTTTGGGTCACACTGATAATCTGAATCAGTTTTTCTATCATTTACATTTTTTTTTTCACTTCTCATTTAAAAAAATATTTGTATTGATTTCAGAGGGAGGGAGGGAAGAGGAAAGGGAGAGAGGGAGGGAAAAAGAGAGAGAGAGGGAGAGGGAAACGGGAGGATGGAGGGAGGGAGGGAGGAACATCAATGACGAGAATCATTGATTGGCTGCCTCCTGCACACCTGACACTGGAGATCCAGCCCGTAACCAGGTGGGGAATTTTACCATGATCTCCTGGTTCATAGGATTATGCTCAACCACTGAGCAACACTGGCTGGGCTACTTTTCATTTTTTAATGAACTTTACTCTGATGTAGTTCATTCACCTATACCAGAGTTTCTCAGCCAATGCAATATAAGTAACTTATAGACACCAAGATATTGTTCCCCTCAATCCTTAGGAAGCTAGGAAGGTTCTAGGATAGCTGTCATCTCTGGGCTAGTGGCCTCTGACCACAAGTAACCTTCTCTCTCTACCTTTAGGCCCCAATGAAATACGTTCTCTGAATGCCATGACATGGAAAAGGTTGAGACACACTGAGCTATGCTACATATTCCTCATATTTACCACTGTTATTTCTAGAAATTATAATGGACTAGAATTTATAGTGGACTCTGGCACTTTCTTAGCTCTCTTCCTCCCACCTCATTCTAGATAGCTACAATATGCACCACAGGGCATCATCTAACACCCTAGCCTTAAAGTTACTATTACCTCCAGTCCATTTCAACTAATTATTACCAAGGACAAACCCTTGACCTGAAAGAGAATCTCTACAATATTGAATGTGTAAATCCCACTTTCTGTTCAGCCTCCTCTTTCACTACTAATTCCTTTTATCATTAACTCTATCAAACCCAATCTTTTCCTCTTAAAAGTCTCTGATCCCTCAACTACTTTCTAATCACTGGATATATCAGCTCTCTGCCAACATGACTTTCTTCACTATACCAGGGGTGGGAACCTTTTTTCTGCCAAGAGCCATTTGGATATTTATAACATCATTTGAGGGCCATATTTAATTATTTTTTTTTTAAATATATTTTATTGATTTTTTTACAGAGAGGAAGGGAGAGGGACAGAAAGTCAGAAACATTGATGAGAAACATCAATCAACTTTCTCTGCACACCCCCAACTGGGGATGTGTCCGAAATCAAGGTACATGCCCTTGACTGGAATCGAACCCGAAACCCTTCAGTCCGCAGGCCAACACTCTATCCACTGAGCCAAACCGGTTTCGGCCATATTAAATTATTAACTTAAAAATTAGACTGCTATATTTGGTCAAACATTTAATTAACACACCCCTTAAGTTAGAGAGTGGGGATTTTTTTTTTTAAATCAATCTTTATTGTTCATATTATTACAAAGGTTCCTCATTACTTCCTCCCTCCACCAGGTTCTCACCCCACCCTCTGCCCCCTCCCCATCCCCCATTGTCCTCATCCATAGGTGCAGTTTATGATCAGTCTCTTCTTCCCTCAATTTCCCCAATAGTAAATCCCTTTTCAGATAGTAAATCAGTTACTTAGCATTTTCTCATATCAATAATACCTCCACATGCCCAATGATACACTTCACACAAAAGACATTTCCCAATAGGTCCACCAGCCTCATCCAGGCCCCACCCAAGGCACTCACAGATCAACACCCCAGTCCTAAACTAACTCAACACATCCAGATCTAAGCCTTCATCACTTGATTCAGCAGACCCTCAAGTTCCCACGAAAGTTTCCAGCCATGTCTGAGAAGCAGCCATGGGGCAGGGGCAGGCAAGGAGTAAGCTGTTCTGGGCCTGGCTGCTCAGGGCCTGGCCTCTGTTGCTCTGGTTCATTCCACAACCAGCTGCTCCGGGTCTGGTCACTGCCGCTCCCGACCTAGTTGCTCTGGACTTGGCTGCTGCTGCTCTGGGCCTGGCCGCACCCGACCCGCCTGCTCCCCCGGGGCCTGGCCGCTCCCAGCCTGGCAGCCGCTGCTCCGGGCCTGGCCGCACCCGACCCGCCTGGAGAGTGGGGATTTTTGAGCATGCTTCCTCCTAGTCGACTTGGCCATAAATCCCAGCTGCAACTAACAAAATAGCCTTACAGGACAAATTATTGTCAGATTTCTTGAGAACAGGATGCCAGTAAGCCTTACAAGAAAGATCACTGTCAACTTTCCTGAGAACGGGACCTTTCAGTCCGCAGACAGACACTCTACCACTGAGCCAAACCGGCTTCGGCCAGCTCATCTTCTTAGTCTCCCCAGCAAGCAAACATATACCACACAGTTCTCTTCAACCCTACTTCTACTATTCAGCTGCTAGCACTATGTCCTTCGGTGCCTTCATAAAAAAGGCCCTGAAAAAGTATATCAACTCAGTCTATTACAGCCTGACGGAAGCTGGTCCCCTCTCCTATACTTTTTACTAAGGTTCCTAATAATTTTGTTTAGTACTTACTGTACTTGATTGTCCCTACAACATCTGACACTGTTGCCCATCCACTTAATTCTCAAAATTCTTCATCCAGGCCTTTAATGTCACCACTCTTACCTGTTCGGCAACTATCTCTGTCAGTTTGTTCTCTCTCTCTCATTATTCTACTAGGGGCCCAGTGCATGAATTCATGCACCTTGAAAGGAACTGTGGGCCATGAGGTTGCGGCGGACACAGCGGCAGGTTTCGGCCCATCCTCCACACCCTCGCCCAGCTCCTGTTGCTGTGGCCCCAGGTCCCCTCTCTGCTGGCAGCCCCGCTCCCATTGTCCCCATTCCCATGTGCTGACAGCGCCAGCCCCACTCGCACCCGCTGATGGTACAGAGCTATTGGGGCCAGCATCAGCAGCAGGTGTGTGTGGGGCCAGTGCTGACAGCGAATGCGAGTGGCAACTGCTGCCCCAATTGCCCCTCGGGAGCAGGGGGGGGAGTAGAGAAACTCTCAAGGATGATTGGAGCTGGCAGCTGCCACTCGCACCCGCTGAGGGCGACAAACAATGGGGGCTGGCAGCGGTTGTGAGCAGGGCTGGTGCCAGCAGCAGGTGCGAGAGCTGGGTGGGACAAAGAATTTTCATTGACCACCAGAGGCTCTCCCCGATAACAGTGACCATCACCCTGCCTTGGTCTGGTGCCCCCGCTGACCTGCTCCATCATCCTGCTGCGGCCAGCACCTGCCATCTTCCACATGCATCCCCAGTGGTCAGCACACATCATAGCGACCAGCTGTTCCAACGTTTGGTTTATTTGCATATTAGGGTTTTATATATATAGATTTTCTCTCTCCTGCTTTATTCAATCCTTCAACACAGAGGAGAGGGATAGGTAAAGAGCTAGGTTCCATTCTTGGTTTGCTCATCTCACTCATTTGAGTCATCTCACCAACTCCTAAGACTTCAACTTTTTTCAATATACTAAGGACTCTCAAATATATATCTAACAATTAGAGGAAATATATCTTTATAACCATCAACTAGATATCCCCACAGTGCAAAATTAACATATTCAGAAATACATATTTCCCCATTTTGCCACTAATGGCACAAAGGGCATCATCACCACCCGATGATTCTCTCCAGCCAAAAGTCCAATCCCTGGTTGGTTAATCTAAGCTCTCTCCATGCCATTCCCCAAAAAAGAAGTGAAATAAATTTAATGATTATATCTCAGAGATGCCTCTAAATATCTTTGCTTTATTCTTATTGACACTACCTTTGCCAGAACCCCTTTGTCTTTTTTATCAATGAGGAAAACAACCAAATTGATCTATCCTACCAGTGCCTCTGTACTCTATATTTCACAATCTCCTAGCAAAGTTACCCTTTTCAAAAAATAAAAAGATAAGGAACACACACACACACACACACACACACACACACACACGAGTAGAGGGGTTAAATTCCAAACTCCTTAACTATAGGTACAGGGGTTTTCACAATATGGACTCAACATTATCTCATCATTCGCCCCCCAAAATGTTATTCTTATACATAAGCATCTTATTCCATGAACATAGTGGTTGTCTCTAAACTTCATGCCTTTAAATAACTTATTCAATTCTAGAGATAACTCAAGGTATCATCCATTCAGTGAACAACATTGTGATTCTCCCAGTTACTGTCTTGTATTCTCCCACAGAACATATTCAGCATCAGTCAGACTATAAATGCCTTGAAGGTAGGGACCATGTATTCCCAAATCCAAGCACAGTGTCCATAGAGATATAATATGTATACAGCTACTTCAATGCTATCCACATTGTCTCCCTGGACTACGGGCCTGTTTCCAACTCCAATGCTCTTAATGTCAGTCCCTAACTCTGGAATTCTTCATATGCATCTATCCATTCTTATACTAGGCCCTAAAAGGCATGCTTAAAAATATAACAAAAATTCCAGTTCACCTTCAAAAGGACTCAGCAGTTAATTACTCCATTTTTAGAGTTTATGCCAAAAATGCTATATAAATATAGTTCCAATAAATTTTTTTCTTTTTAAAAAATGTTATTCAACAAGGAAAAGCAGTTTGTGTCTCATTTTAGTTTAATTCCTTTTATAAAATTGAAGATGGCAAATAAGTCTATAAGCTCAAAGTGAAAGAACAGTAAAATAATTTTTCAAACAATTCTAGAGTCTAACACAACAAAAATGTACTCTGTCAACATCATCAATAATAAGTATTTATTGCTGAAATGGGTTTGGCTCAATGGATAGAGCGTCGGCTTAGGGACTGAAGGGTCCCGGGTTCGATTCCGGTCAGGGGCATGTACCTTGGTTGCGGGCATATCCCCAGTAGGGGGTGTGCAAGAGGCAGCTGATTGATGACTCTCTCCCATAGATGTTTCTAACTCTCTATCTCTCTCCTTTCTTCTCTGTACAAAATCAATAAAATATATTTTTTAAAAATAATAAGTATTTATTAATGACCTATCCATGTACTGTGCATTATGCCAACCACTGCCAGAGACAACAATAAGTAAGATATGATCCCTATTAATGAGGAATTCTCAGTCTTAATTCAGTAAGATTAGTTCCAGGGAGGCCATTATCTTATTTTTCCATAAGCCTTAAAACCCACATTGGTCACATAGTAGATATACTGCTTAAAAAATATCTGGTGACTGATAATATGTATGTCTTTTGGATAATGATGCTTCACATCCCTTGCATACTGACAGTAAATTCACAAGTCTACATTATGGCATATCTGCATATGACAGATATGCAAACATTAAAAGTAAAGCTGTTTTAGAAGAGTACATTAGTAAATGCAAAAAAGTACTCATAATGTCAGCAAAAATAAAAGACTCAAAATATGTACATTAAAAGACATATACATGAATGGCTGAACTATGTAAGTTATCTATATTAATAAAAAGGTAATATGCTAATTAGACCAACATCATTCCAGACCTCCTTCCTGACAAAGCCAGGGCCAGAGGGAAGCCAGCTCAGGTCCTAGGTGCCAGAGGGAAGTCTGTACTGGTAACTAGGGGAAAAAAGGCTTACTCTTGCACAAATTTTCATAAGGCCTTTAGTATCTTAACAAGCAGTATGTGTGAGTGTGTGTATGTGAAATCATTAAAAAGTCTTAAAGAGCTGAAACCTGTTTGGCTCAATGGATAGAGCGTCGGTCTGCGAACTGAAAGGTCCCGGGTTCAATTCCGGTCAAGGGCATGTACCTTGGTTGTGGGCACATCCCCAGTAGGGGGTGTGCAAGAGGCAGCTGATCGATGATTCTTTCTCATCGATGTTTCTAACTCTCTATCCCTCTTTTTTCCTCTCTGTAAAAAAAATCAATAAAATATATTAAAAAAAAAAAAAGTCTTAAAGAAAACAGATCAAATCAATAGCAACAAAAGTTATCTCTGGATAAAATTAAAAAATATTTTTTATTTTCATCTTTTTAACTTTACAGACTTACCAGATTTTTGGGCTTCTGTGGTCAACTAACATCTTCATAATATTTTCCATAGTCATGTGCTCCTATATTAAATCACTACCATTTAAAATATTATCTAACATAATCTAGCATTCCATCTTGTTTTCTAAATCATAATGGGAAACTATCTTTTTGTAGTTAATTGTTATTGCATTGTTTTCAAACAATGGAAGACTTTAAAATTTTAATGCTCACGTAGTGTAACAATAACATCTGCTAATTAATCAAGTTCCTTCTCACCATTCAAATTCTAAAACATAAGCCCTGCCCTTACCTTTTTATCTGAAGTGATAAGCTTAAATGCTTCTGTTACTTGATGGACTGTGGCACCACCACCAACATCTAGAAAGTTGGCTGGAGTCCCTCCATGAAGTTTTATTATATCCATTGTGGCCATAGCCAAACCAGCACCGTTTACTATCAAGGGAGGAAAATGATTTGTATAAGTAACAAACACAAAGAAAATGAAGTAAGCTTAGCCAATCCAACTCTAACATAAAAACACATGGTACCTAGACAGCCTATATTCCCATCTAGGCCAATGTAGTTGATATCAGCCTTAGCTGCATCTTTGTCCCTTTCATCTTCCTGAGTCCAGTCCTGGAGATCAAAGATTTTCTTCTGGCGATAAGCTGAATTAGAATCAAAATTGATCTTCGCATCCATACACAGCACTTTGAAGAAGAAAAAAAAAGAAAAAAGAAAATGATCTTAATTTCAAAATAGATACAGCAAACTATCTAATAATCAAACATTCTTCATTTTAGGGGAAAAAGACATTTTGTTACTTTATTGAAAGTATTTCAATTTATGCTCACAATTAATTCAAACTGTTTCTTGAAAAAGAGAATTTGGGAATTGAAACTGAAGTGCTACCTGTTACTAATTCTAAATCTCTCCTAGGCAACAGATAATGAAGGGGGGAGAGAGATAGCTGAAAAACATTTAAATATTTTTAAAATTATTGATGTTCATAGCTAAACCTTTCACTTGGGCCCTCAATTCCATTCCCTCTCACACACTCAATCACATTGTTACAGTAACTCTGTTTTTCCTACATTATAAATCCTCCCTTTTTCTATTGGCTAAATCAAACCGACTTGCAAAATAAAAAAATGCTGTTCTTTCCTCCAACTTAATAAAAAGTATTTTAACCATTATATTCCCCTTATTCTTCTTTTTCTATACTGCAAAATTCATGAAGAGAGTTGTCTGTTTAAACTAGGGATCAGGAAACTGGCCAAGGGCCGGATTCAGCCTCTGCCTTTTTTTTTTTTATGTCCTGTGAACTAATAATGGGTTTTAAATTTTTAATAGGTTGGGAAGAATAAAGGGGAAAGAACAAAGGAAGAAGAACAAGAAAAAAAGCAGCAGCAACTGTGACCATATGTGCCCCACAAAGTTCAAAATTTTATTATCTCCCAACCCTGTGATTAAATTCATTATATCAAATTTTTCTTCTGCCTTCCTTTCTTTAATCCACTCTAATAAGGCTTTAAACCTCTAGTGGTCTACAAAACGACTCATATGAAGGTCACTTCTCAAACTTCATCTTTCAGTATTCTACTCCATTCTTTGCTCCAATCCAACTAATTATAACACCCTCCTTGCAGTTCGCAGTTCCTGTACAACAGAAGCTGAAAAAACTGGGCAGCTTAGCCAATGAAGGTCAGAAAGGTTGTTTACTCTGTAGCTCACATGCAGAGGCTGGACTGCCGGTGAGAGTCTGCCCTTGCCTGAGCAGGTCCTCTGCCTCTCCCTTTCCTTTTCCCTCCAGCCCACTCTCTCTAAAAAGCAGTGAAAGAATATCCTCTGATGAGTATTAAAAAACAAAACACAGAATAACAGGCCTCCTCCTTGGAGATGCTGAATACCGTATTTTCCGGCGTATAAGACGACCGGGCGTATAAGCCGACCCCCTAATTTTACACTTAAAACATAGGTTTAGGCCTATATTCGCTGTATAAGACTACCCCCCACTTCCGAGGCAACACCAGTTGCTGACTCAGAGAATATATGTGCAAATGATATTAACCAATGATGTTAAAAATATCCAAATGGCCCTTGGCAAAAAAAAGATTCCCCATCCCTGCAGGATTGATATTTAAAATATAAATATTTTTATTGATTTCAGAGAGGAAGGGAGAGGGAGAGAGAAATAGAAACATTAATGATGAGGGAATCATTGATCAGCTTCTTTCTGCATACCCCCTATCAGGGATGGAGCCCACAACCTGGCATTTGCCCTTGACTGGAAACTGGATTCTTCTGTTTGTAGGTTGCTCTATTCACTGAGCCAAACTGGCCATGGCCAAACTTATTTTTAGAAGTCATACAACTCAATAACAAAAGAAATAAACCAATCGAAAAATGAACAGAAGATATGAAGACATTTTTTTTAACTGATTTTTTTACAAAGAGGAAGAGAGAGGGATCGAGAGTTAGAAACATCGATGAGAGAATCATCGATCAGTTGCCTCTTGCACACCCCCTACTGGGGATGTGCCCGAAACCAAGGTACATGCCCTTGATCGGAATTGAACCCGGGACCTTTCAGTCTGTAGGCTGATGCTCTATCCACTGAGCCAAACTGGTTTCAGCTGAAAATCCATTTCTTCAAAGATGAAGCAGAGATACGGATGGCCAACAGACATATAAGATGCTCAACATCACTAATCATCAGGGATATACAAATCAAAACCATAATCAGATATCACCTCACACCAGTCTATTACAATGGCTATTACAAAAAAGTACACAAATAGCATGTATTGGTAAGAATGTGGAGAAGAGAAAAGCCTTGTACATAGTTGGTGGGGCTGGAAATTGCAGCTCCTATGAAAAATAGTAAGAAGATTCCTCAAAAAACTAAAAATAGATAACAGCATACATTCTAGCAATTCCACTTCTGAGTATTTATCCAAAGAAAGTAAGAACACTAATTCAAAAATAGATAGGCATTGCTATGTTCATTGCAGCATCCTATATAATAAAAGGCTACTATGCAAATCAATAGAATGGCAGAACGACCGTTCACTATGACGCACACTGACCACCAGGAGGCATACATTCAATGCAGGAGCTGCCCCCTGGTGGCCAGTGTGCTCCCACCGGGGAAAGCACTAAACCACAAGCCAGGCTCACAGCTGGCAAATGCAGCTACGGATGGAAGCCTCTCCCATCTCCACAACAATGCTAAAGATGTCTGACTGCTGGACATCTCCTGAGGGCTCCTGGACTGTGAGAGGGCATAGCCCCCCCCCCGAGTGCATTTATCTCGTGCACCAGGCCTCTAGTTATTTATAATAGCCAAGACATGGAAGCAACCTAGTTGTCCATTAATAGATGGATAAAGACACACACACACACACTCAGGACTATGATGCAGCAATAATAAGAATAAAACCTTGCCATTTGCAACCACATGGATAAAAATAAAGGATAGTATGCTAAGTGAAATAAGTCAAGCAGAGAAAGACTAATACCACATGGATTAATTTACATGTGGAATCTGAAAAAAACAAAAACCTTGTAAGTTTTATAAATTAAGACTTGTATAAATGGAAAACATTATATTTCTAATTGGAAAAACTGACTATTACTAAGATATTAACCACTCGCCCCCCCAACCCCAATTTTACAATCCCAACAGGATTTCAGCATAATTTTTTTGAGATATAACAAAAAGGCTTTAAAGGTTATCTAGCAATAGGACTTAGTAAAATGACATCCAAGTACTCAAATCAAAACCAAAGGTTTCAAGGAGTTTGTGAAGCTCTAGACTAAGTGAAAAATAGTACCTGTGGCCCTGGCTGGTGGCTCAATCAGGTGAATGTCATCCCATACACCAAAAGGTTGCTGGGTTGATTCCTGGTCAGGGCACATGCCTGAGGTGCAGGCTTGATCCCGAGTAGGAGGCATGCAAGTGGCAGCCAATGTTTCTCTCTCCCATCAATGTTTCTCTCTCTCCCTCTCCCTCCCGCTCTCCAAAATAAATAAAAACATAGTGGGGAAAAAAAGAAAAATAGTACCTATACACATGCTCCCATGGGAACACTAGAGCACTTTCCTTGGATGAAAGAACTTGCTTTCATTCAATTATCACTGCATTTGTATTTTTTTAAATTTTAAATAAAATTTTATTGTTCATCATATTACAAATGTTCCTAGTTTTTTTTCCTCAATTGCTCCCCTCCACCAGGTTCCCACCCTACTACCCTACCCTCTGCCCTTTCCACACCCCCCACTGACCTCATCCATAGGTGCAGTTTGTTTAGTCTCTTCCCTCACTCCCCACTCCCCTTTTCCCCAAGAATTGTCAGTTCACTCCCCTTCCATACCTCTGATTCTATTATAATCACCAGTTAATAATGTTCATCAGATTTTTAAAAATTCCCTTGGTTTTTAGATTCACTTGTTGATAGTTATGTATTTGTTGTTTATAATTTTTATCTTTATTTCCTTCCTCTTCTTAAAGAACCCCCTTCAGCAGTTCATATAATTCTGGTTTGGCGGTGATGAACTCTTTTAGCTTTTTTTTATTAGTGAAGCTCTTTATCTGGTCTTCGATTCTGAGTGATAGCTTTGCTGGGTAGAGTATTTTTGGCTGTAGGTTCTTGCTATTCATCACCTCGAACATTTCTTGCCATTCCCATCTAGCCTGCATGGTTTCTGTTGAGAAATCAGCTGACAATCGTATGGGTGCTCCTTTATAGGTAACTACCTACTTTTTTCTTGCTGCTTTTAATATTCTCTCTTTGTCTTTTGCTCTTGGAATTTTAATTATGATGTGTCTTGCTGTGGTCCTCTTTGCGTTCCTTTTGTTTGGAGTTCTGTGCGCTTCCTGGACTTGTAGGCCTAATTCTTTCACTAGGTGGGAAAAGTTTTCTGTCACTATTTCTTTCAGTATGTTTTCGGTATCTTGCTCTCTCTCTTCTTCTGGGACCTCCATAATTCTGATGTTGGTTCACTTGAAGTTGTCCCAGAGGTTTCTTACATTATCTTCAACTTTTTGGATTCTCTTGTCTTGTTGCTTCTACGGAGGAGTATCTTCTGGCTCTTTTATGTTCCAAATCTTTGACTTGATTCTTGCAATTTTCTATTCTATTTTTAGGACTCTGTATAATATTTTTTATTTCAGACAATGTATTCTTTATTTCTAGTTGATCCCTTTTCATATCCTCATAGGTCTCGTTTATCTTATCGACCTTTTCTAGGAAATTCTTGAAAAACCTTATAAGTGTGGTTTTGAACTCTATATCCAGACGCTTGCTGTCCTCCATTTCTTTTGTTTGCGATCTGTTTCCTTGTCTCGGCATTTTCTCAGCTTCTCTGAGTTGGTAGGGTGGCTTTGTGTGCTAAGGTGTCCTATATGGTTCAGTGGGTCAGTCTCCCAGTTACCTGAGGTGGACAGTCTTGGTGTAGCCCTTTGTGGGCCGTGTGTGCAGTCTTGTTGTTAAGCCTTGCTTGTTGTTGGTATCACTAGGAAGCGTTGATCTCCAAGCCAATTGGCTATGAGGATCTGAAGAGTCTCAGCTAGGAGGGTTTCTGTATTCCGCTTGGATGGGGCAGAGTCTCGGGTGGCACAGCCAAGCTTTGGTGAATCCCGCAAGATTGGTTGCAGGCGCGCACACCTCTTTGGTATAGGCGCAGACAAGCTTTGGATTCTTGTCTG